AAAAAATGGGTAATGAGGAGATAAAAACAATAGTTAAAGAATTAGTAGAAACCAAAAACAATTTTGCTACATTAGCAAAAAAATATGAAAAAAATGTGGTGGTTGATGAAAATCTGATAAAAAAAGAATTGCAAAATTTGTGAAGTACTGAATTATCACAAATGCTCGCCACTAACCAGCAAAAGGTTCAAAATTACCTGCTTGGACAAGTGCGAAAAAAATTTTCAGACTATCCAGTGAAAGAAATTGTTTTAATCATTGCTAATTTTCTCCAAGAAAAAATTTAACTAGTTCAGTGAAATAATTATTTATCGGTTGACCTTTTTTATCCTCAACCGAAACAGAAATTATTATATTTTTCCTAAATAAAGAGCAAGGGAAAAAGAACAAAATTCAAACCTTAAAACTTTATCCTCTTCCCACTCCTCAACTAAATTTATCGCTTATCTTTTTTTAGTTTTATTTTTTCTCATTGCTAACCCAATCACTAATCCAATTATTAGGACTCCGCCTAGACCCAAACTTATTAACAAGTTGTTGTTATTAGTATTTTTGGATGGTATGGAATTAGAATTATTCATATTGACTAAATCTTGCTGGGTTAAACTAGTTTGACCACTTTTTTGGTAAAAACTGATAACTTTTTGGAGTTCTTGTTGTCGAACCTGACTATTAGTTATAATTTTAGATTTACCGCTATTATATTCAATCAATAAATTACCTTCGGGAGTTAATTCTATTTGTTTGATATCTTTTTCCTGGAAGTATTTTAACAAAAAGTCATTATCTAATTGTGGATTTTCTTTTTCTCCGGAGTGAGTGATAATTCCTCCTCCATTTTTATGGTCGTTATTTTCCACTAATCCTTTATTAACTCCGTTAACTGGTTTTGCTAATGGTAATTCATCGGATTTTTCATCATAATGACTAATCGTAATTTTATCATTCAGTTCCACATAAGTTTTATATTCAATGTATCAATCTTTATCTTGTTTTATTAACTCTCGGGCTTCGCTTTCCGAAACAATTTCCTCTCTTTGTTTAGCCACATTTCAATAGGAAAGTGTCGTTGGTTTAGCCGCTCCTTCTACCACAAAAAATTTGCTAACTTCCGAATTAGTGCCTCAACCATCATTAAAAAGACAGTTAGTTAACGCAAAATGGTTATCTGGAACATAAATAGTGTAATTAAAACCATTATGTTTGCCACCAAAAGTATGTCAATTTTCTCACCGACCACGACCATTATATTTTCCATCTGTCGAGCATTTTCATTGGGTGAATAAGTGCGGGTTATTCAATTTTATATTTTCAGTGTTTTGCCGTTCTTGCTTATCTTTTTCCTCTAAAAAGTTTTTGACTTGGCGAATTAAACTAATTATTTCGTCAAAATCAGCCGCGGATAAATCTTTTCGCTTAACTCGCACCATTCGAGTAGTTATTTTATCTATGTCCAATGGTTCTTGGCGTTTACGAGGCAAATTAGCAATCGCTTCTTTAATTTCTTTCTTCGAACCAAAATAACAAAATTCTTTACTTTGGTTGGCTTCTCAAATATCTCCTAAGGTGTCGCCAGTTTTCATTTTTCGACTTCCATTCAAGACAGTTCTTACTTCCTCCTTAATTGAACTGGCTAAATGGGCGGGGTTGGTGGCTGAACCGGTCGGGTTTTGTAAGCGTTGAAAAAATTCTTCGTCTTTAATGTCTTTTTTGGTAAAATACCCACAATCCCCCTTTTCAAACTTTTCTTTTTGGAGCCGAGTTAATTGATTTTTAATTCTAGCTCTTTCGGAACTATTTTCCGGAGCGGCTCTAAACTCTTTTTTTAAATTTT